GGGGGGGGGGGGGGGTGGAAGGAGAGAATTTGGAAAGAGATAAATATGGCAAGGTTGGATAGGGTATTTTAAGAATTTTAAATTATAATTTTAACACGTTTTATTTTCACTTGCAGTTTTGAAGGTATGATTAACATCTTGCGTTAAATTAGCAACGTTTATTTATTTTTACCCTTTTATGTTAAAATTGAGGGGGTTTAGTGTAACACTTAACACTACAAAAAAGTTAGGCACATATAAAACTAGGTCGACTTGCTTAAGACTCGATTTTGGTATCAGTCCATAACGATTAAATTTGAAACAAATTCAATGAAATAACAAGGGGTACCATAGAGAGGCAGAAGTTTAAGGTTTTTTTTTTTTTTTGGTATTTAACTCTAATATTAAATATTTTTTTTATTAACACGAACACTACATGTACCAAAATTAATACAACCCCAAAAGGATCCGACATCTCTAAATGTACACTATTTTATTTTTATTTTTGTTTAATGATAAGAATTGTTGAAGTCATCTTATTCTTACTTTGACTAAATTTTTTTCGGCCTATTCAAAGATAAATTATCTACGTAGAGATTAAAATATTCATAACTTAAATTCAAATAATTATTGAAATTTAAATTCATAATATCTAAATTTGTTATCTGTCCTATTACGACTATAACTTAGTTATGCTTCAGCTATTTAAACGAGTTAATCTCATTTTGCACTCTGAAAGATTGTTCGAATCTCAATTTATACCCTCAAAGATAAAAAATCTCAATTTATACCCTCAAAGATAGAAATTTGTATTAATGTGCACCCCAAATATCAAAAATCTCAATTTGTACCCTCAAAGATAGAAATTTATATCAAAGTGTACCCCAAAAATAAAAAACCTCAATTTGCACTCTCAAAGATAGAAATTTGTATCAATGTACACCTAAAATTAAATTGATAAATTATACCTAAATCCCCTCATATTTGTTAGTTAATCATTTAGACCTCTTCACATTTAGAATATTACTCTTACATCTTATGACATTTGTGCACGTATAACACGTAACTCATTTTCATTGATATCTATTAATATAACCGTTAAAAAATATAATTTTATCCTAATAAAAAATTATAATTTCATATTACCCTTTATTTTATAGGTTCAATATACTATAAAGTTCAAAATCTAGTTTACCATTTGAATGTCTAATAAAATATAAATATTTATATAATATTTTTCATATTACCTTTTATATAAATATCTACATTTTATTAGACATTCAAATGGTAAGCTTGATTTTCAACTTTAGAGTATATCGAATCCACAAAATAAAAGGTAATATAAAATTATAATTTTATATTAGGATAAAATCATATTTTTTAACAATTATATTAATATATATCAACGAAAAGTGGTTATGTGTTACACATGCATAAACGTCATGAGATGTAAGGGGAATATTTTAAATGTGAAGGAGTTCAAATGATTAAGTGACAAACATGAGGGGATCAAGGTATAATTTATTAATTTAATTTTAGGTGCACATTGATACAAATTTCTATCTTTGAAGATGTAAATTGAGATTTTTGATCTTTGGGGATGTACATTGATACAAATTTCTATCTTTGAGAGTGTAAATTGAGATTTTTAATATTTAAGAGTACAAATTAAGATTCGAACAATCTTTCGAATGCAAAATAAGATTAACCCTATTTAAACATCTTTTTTCTCGTATCCATCTGTTTACCAAAAGACGAACTAGAAATATTATTCAGTCTTTTACAAATAGCATTTCTTTTAATAGATACTAAGCCGTAGAGATTTGGGCAAAAAGACCAATCAAAGGTTCTCTCTCTCTCTCTCTCTCTCATCCTTCCACCCAAGATCAACTTCAGTCCGAAATCACAAACAGATTATTCTACGGTGGAACACACACAGTAGGCAGAGAGACAGAGATGGGGCTATTGAGGAGGATGGCGGGTTTTTTAGGGTTTGTGAAGGACGAAGCCCACGAAGTAAACGACGAAGACGATGAAAGACGCGACGCCGATGTGAATCATATTCCAACCAATCTTCCTCGCAAAGGCTTCAGTGTTCCTGTCCAAGTCGTCGCCGAGAGAGCTCCGATTGGCCCAGTTCTCGTCCCTTGCAGTGCCGGCGATGGTAGTGTTCAGGTCAATCTTTAACCTTTGGCCCATTTCTTTTTATGCTGCTTCGCGTTCTTTTTTGTTCGCCTGTGTGCGTTTGTGTGGGAGAAGGGTTTTTAGCTGAAGTTTTTCGTATTTATGGCTGATCATTTTGTTTGATGGGGTAAGATCGACTAATATGGTTTCCCATACTACCTGGTAATTAGTGCTGCTTATAGTACTCATACTCATTGGCTGATTAGTAGGCTGTCTTCTTCGTTAGTCAATCATGGAACTTCGCACTCGCTACGATTCATAGTCTATGCTTGATTAGTCCGCACATAATCTTTCAGATTCTCAATATTGTGACCATCTTCTCTTTGGCTCGACACATTAGTCATGCCACATTCAAATTCTGTGATTGTTGACGATGGGTTGTTCCTTGAAAAATAGTTAATAATTATTCCTGCGTCAATTCTGTTTACAGCGTTGGATGCATTGCGCCATTAATTTTGTCGTGGTTCCTTGTTGAATTGTTTTCCTATAACCAATTTGTTGTTAAGGTGCAATATGGTCAACAATCAAGAATCAAGAAAATCAAGAACACAAGATTTCCGTGATTCGGTAGAAATCCTACGTAAATCCACAAGAAAGGTTTTTCTTTATTACTGTTATCAGAATCCAAAAGGATTACAACATATTTATAAGCACCTATTAATAACCCTAATCCTAGTCCAACAAGCAAACTTAGTTCCAGTAATTCTGATAGATTAATTCTTTGTAAACTTCTTAACATACCAAATCTTGGTACAACTCTTTTATCAAAGGTACATTGGAAATCTCTAAAATACTCCTCTACTGGGAAGTATTCCCTGCACCCCAACTTATTATTCAACTTTGCAACCAAATAGTACAATTGTTGGACTATCCCGTTGACTTTTGGTAGAGAACACATCTGTATCCAAAAGTAAAATCGAATGGACATTATCCACATCAAAATTAGCAAAACCTAGTGAATATCAGCCACTCACTATTTCCAATACTGTTCGTTGCATTCAATGACTTTGATTCTATTAACAAGAGTCTATGTGATGGATAAATTTGTTACTATTAGCTTTATTTATTGTCAAGACCTTACTTCTTTTTCAAAGCCTCGCCTTAAAAGAGTCTCTTATGCATTTGTGATTCAATACCATGAAGTTTTCACTAACTGGAAAGAGCCCATAAGAGATTTCTTCTTGAGTGAAGTCTGAGAGAAACTCATTCCTTACTTACTTTGGGACCGACTTGCTACGTACAATTAAATCTTAAAACTAGAGCTTAAGAAAAACAGGAGAAATGAAGAAAGCTCAATTCCAAGGGATTGTAAGAGTAACTTCATTTTGAACTACTAATTTTAAGCTTTATTTTCCTCCTCTATATTATCCGCATTCTAGGTTTCTCATTTAGGGACTCCCTAGTATAACTTTTTCACATCCATGGATAATGGACCAAACTAGGACATTTGATGCTAACGGGACTTCTGCGGTTTTGTGACCTATTTTATTTCTTGAATCAGGTTTTTACTAATAAAAAAGAATGAACTAACCATTCTTCAAGCCTGAAATAAGCATGGTTCAACGCCTCAGTTATGACAAGATGGGCAGGTTTTATTTGACTATATGCCTTGTTTCCATTTTCCTCTTGAATGTAGAGTAGTTCTTAATTTTCTATCAAACCCCTATCAAATGTGTATGCCTTTATTTTCGTCCTTAACACTCTGAAAGCCATTGGTGACTCTTGTTTAACGGATTGGCAATGTCCAGGTACCTGTCTTTCGGGGCAGCTGACCACACTAATCATGGTCAATATAACAGTTTATTCTTTACATGGTGTTTATCTGGTATCTTTTAAAACCAAGTACGATTTGGAATTGCTGTGAGTAGGGAGCTACAAATACGAATACGAGTAAAATTTGCTGTAATTTCTTAAAGTTGACAGTATTATAATTTTTATCCGAAATTAAAAGTTACAAATATCTAGTTATTACATGTACAAATATATACACACATAAATGTATGTATATATATATATCTCTGTGTGTGCATGTATGTGTGGTCCTACAGACAGTGGTGTGCCACTATAAAGATAAAGTTCACCAAATATTATTAGAGCAACATAGCACCTAAAACTCAAAAAAAAAAAAAAAAAAGGATTATACTCTACCCAACAATAAACACAGTCCTTGTATTTCTAACCTAATTGCTTATGCTCTACATAAACTTGCTAAAACTTGAAAAATGCAGGTTCAAATCTTAAGGCAACAATTTCATGTAAATAATGTCAAATGCATACCTATAACTCATCTATTCACCCTATCATCCTACATTAGTAACGTGATAACTTCATGGCCTTTTATCCATACATAATGAGTCAACTTAATGAAAATATTTTCCTCAGAAAAATGGAAATGTTCCATTGATCTTTCTGATGCTAAGGATTTTGTCAAGTGCCATTGCATTATTGTGTTGAAAGAGTTTACACAAGTTCAAGTTGATATGGAGTTTAGAGTTTTTTGAGTTGTTGTTCCCCATTTCTTTTCGCTTTTCTACCCGGTGCTGTTACGGGATATATTTTTTTTTCTTTGTAATATGTTGTATATCTGTGAACTTTGGGCCGAGGATTGTTATCTAACCCACGTATTAGATAAACATTATCAAAAGTACACCTGAGAAAACCTCCTATCAAATGTTTCTCTGGTACCAAAATCCCCTAACGGCAATTGGGAAAGGAAGTTCTTAAGTGGGAAAGGAAGTGTGACATTAAAAGGAATCTAACTTTTTTAACTGATTATTGTTATTGACTAGTGAATAACTTAGACGTAGGTTGTCATAGATAGCTTGCATTAGAATTTGGAAGGTTAAAAGACTCATGGTTGTATGTGGCACATTAGTTTATCCTAATCTTCTTATTAAACTTCCATCTTTCTATGCAATTAATATAGTCTCATCCATCATCCATCATCCATCACCACCAGATATGTTTATTACTGTCTAATGATAATACTCCACATTCCCAGCAAAAATGGCAATACTTTTACATCGCAGCTGTTTATTTTCTTATCTGACTTTTCTAGAAGCAACTCCTCCCGACACGGGTTTCCAGGAGTAATCAATTCTACTCACTCGAAGTTTACATACCTAACTTCAATGTTTTGTTGTTGCAGCTCATCAACAATTCCTCCTTCATTTCTATTAATCCGTATCTTAAAAAAATGGTATTTATCATTTCTTATAGGTTCTGAAGTGATAGTTCCCTCTGACGGGAAAAATGTGAAGGAAGAAGTTGTCATTTTAGTGTCTGTCTTTATATTGGCAGTAGTTGTTACTAGATTTAATTAAGATTGCATAATTCATGCAGCAAGCTAAGAAATTAATTACTATCAACCCTAAACATGGGAAGAAAATATATTCTCAAATATTGAAAATCCATGATAATAAATTGTTCCCAAGTCATAATTTTGCCTATTTCAGCATAAGAAAACCTAGCTCAAGCTTTAGAGAGATAACGGAACTTGAACTTCAAAACCAAATGCTAACTTACTATGCTTGAAACCCCTCTTTCTCTCTCTAGACTCTCTCTCTCTCTCTCTCTCTCTCTGCTCTTTCTTGTACCAGAGAGCAAAGTTTTTTCTTTGGCCCCATTTTCCTCTCCCTCCCTCTCTGTCTTGACTGCCATGTGGACTCCCAATAACATATGGTGGCATACTACAGCTGTTGTTCTGGAGAACATTGTAGCTCTTTGCATTTTCTAATGTGTTGGTATGCTGGATGTAGTACTCCATAATTTATTTGATTTAATTTATATCAAGCATATCTTAATTCTTGATTACTATGTCTAGAAGATTGAAATTTTGTCTGTTGATTATGGATTCTGAATCGGTTAACTTTTTGTTGATAGAGTTTTAGGTGAAAATTAATCACTTCCTTGCACATTGGGTGCTATCAAAATGTTCCCTATTAGCCAACCGAAGAGCATCCTTATAAATGAATGGAAAGCAGGCCCTTTGGAATCCATTTAGTCTGGCTGATCAATTTTACTTTTTTTTCGTCCCCCCAGTCTAGGACAGATTTCTGAATGAGGCATTGGGTGTACAGCTATACTGGATTTGAACACTGCCAGTCTGCCATACTCTTCTTGTTACAATTTCTTATTATTCTATTGTTGCTCCTGCTCCTGTTTGACAGTTTTGCTGATATGATATTATATTATGTAATTTGGTGCATCTCTTCAACTCATTGCAATTTATTTTTCTCAACTAGGAGGTGTAAATTTCATCGGAATGCAAAACGTGTCAATGTGGTAAGGTTGCGATCTAAGCTTATATGTTGTTTCTCTCGTAAGTCTGTGAGGTTGTGTATTAGTTGGCTCATTTGGAGTTCCCATCCCTTTTTTGACATGCAATTTCTATCCTCCTGGAGAATGAGTAGTTGGGTACTACTTGGTGGTTTGTTTGTGGATCTCTGTGTGGGAATAAGCTGCATACTATTTTCTTTCTTTGTAATTTATGTATTCAACAATAAATTGTAGTTTCAAATAGCTAGGCTGCAAGATGCTCATACAGGTTTATGGATGTGCAAAATAACTGAAATTATTTAAGTGAGTACTGTTTTGTTGACACGTGGGCAACCTGATGTACTTAATAAGTTTCCTAGTTCTTTGGAGAGTGGAGACTACAAAGAAGGATTGAAGTCTTTGGAAGCTTAACTAGTTGACCCTTTATAGCAGTTACTGCAACTCACATTTTCCTGCAATTTTGTGACCTCTCATTACAACCTGGCATTCTGGATCCTTTGCTCCGTTATTAGTAATCATTGCTTTCCATGTACAAATCTCAACTTGTTTGTGTTTTTTATGGATTCAGGGTTTGAGATGGTATGCAAAGCGTCTGAGGATAGATGAAGATGGAGATGTTGCGGATGAGTTCCTTGATGAGGTCTTTCTCGATACACCATTGAATATGGAAGAGCATCATAGACCATTGCCAAGGTTTGAAGTGAAGTACAGCACTAGGCCGGCCAAAGTGATGAACCAGGCATTATCTGTTGATGGTAAAATCCAACTGTGTGTCGAATACCAAGACAGATTGCAGTGGGTGTGAATGATCTTTTCCTGAGAGGCCGATTAGTTTTCTGGGAATGTATTTCTTTGGTTGTTCACAGATTGCTCAGTTCTCCAGAATTAGGTGTGTGCATTGGGCCATTACTAAGTTGGGGAACCCTCTGAGGTCGTTGCTTTGATCCTATGCTACGAGGTTGTCTTAAATAGAGGATTTTGGCCTTGCTTTGTATGTTAAAACGATAATACGAGGGTTGGTGATGTTAATATAAGTTTTGTACGTATAGACAATTTAGCCGTATCCATTTCTTCTGAAACAATCCATGTACACATGACATCAAATTCTCCAGAAAACAGTTTTCATGCGGTTTAATGTAGTCTAAACTTTGTTTAGGACATGGTTTTTATATGTTGTGTTTTTCATTTTCTTGCCTTCTGCTTGTAAGGTGTTATTATGCTGTTCCATGTATTTTTAAAAAATTAACTATCAAATACTCTTACGAACTAGAAAAAAGTAAACTTATCAAACACTTTAAAGAGTACTGATTTGAATTGTTCAAGCATTAATTTCTCAAATCACTCAAACATGGTGTGTATCATCATAAACATGGATAATATCTCCCTATTTATTTATACCTCTTTTTAGCCAACACGAACAATATAAAAAATTAAAGAATAATTCTATTTTAATTTAAAAATTTGACATAATTTGTTGATATAAAGATGTCAGCTGTAAATTAAGTCTCAATAATATTGCTTAAAATTAAATTATTCTTTTTAGTTCCACAAATTTAAAATTTGATGAAACGAACAATTTTTATCTCTATTCTTTTGTCAAGCTTTGAATTAACTTTGGAGATTGCCCATCCTTTATTTTTTATTTGTACAAAGCAAAGACTTTTGTCTCGGTTAATAAAAGAATCACATTGTAATACTTTTATTATATCGATGGTGCAATATAAAAAAATTAATATTTAAGAGTGTAAAGTAAAAAAATTTCAATCTTTTAGGGTATAAGGTGTAATTTCCCCAAATATAATTACCAATTCCACCCCTTGACTAATTGGCAATAACGATCCTTTCCGTTATCCGGTACAGGCACCGAAACTGAACTGGCACATCATCAGCTTTCAGCTAGTCCCACTGAGTAGGAACCAGAGCAAATGGATCTTCAAGCTCCCTGTAACATCTGCATTTCAATTTACCGGAGCAAACCGGCGCTTCACCGGCGATTATCTTCTCCGAATACCGTCAGTTACCCGATGAATTTACTGAAACAACGCCGTAAAACGACTTCGGAGCTTCAAACGCCGGTAGCAGTCTTCCCCGGTGAAAGTAGTGGCAGCTATTCACAGTCGGTTCAAACCCATAAAGTCACGGTTCACGACAGACAGCGAGGACTCACTCACGAGTTCTTCGTTCCTGAGGTACTTACTGAAAATAAATGTGATTTTCCCCAAATTTTGCCATAGAGACACAAACATTCACATTGTTCAAGGAGTCATTTATCTTAGGTTTATTTTCAGTCTCAGCAATTTTTTGTTGATTAAATAAAATGCAGGACCAATATATTTTACATACTGCTGAATCTCAGAATATATCGCTCCCATTCGCTTGCAGGCATGGTATTGTTCTATATCTCGCCAAATTCGCAATATCCCTTCCTATAGTGTGTGTGTGTGTGTGTGTGTGTGCGCGCTCATATCTTTGATATCCATATTCGTTGTTGCTTGTTCAAGTAGTCGTTTATTCCCAATTCTCTGGGAAAAATCTTGCAATTATATCTATTTAGTTTGCTTTGGCAATGCCAATGCATGCTATTTCATTATTTCTATGATTCATTTTATGTCCTTACTTTGTTTTGGCAATACCAATGCGTGCTAGACGATTAAGTTATGTGATGCTGGATAGTTGTATGCTAAGGAAGAAAACCCAGAAAGCTTGAAAAGCTCAATTTAGAAATTGATTTTGTGGATGAAAGAGGCCGCGTTAGTTGAAATTCTGAGTTATAATTGGGGAAAGAAAACAATCGGTATTGCATTAGGTTAATGTGGGTTAATTTTGGTGTATTTAACAACTTTTTTCCTAGAACAAGTGAACATGGAGGGTTGTCATGAAGAGTGAAATCGTTTTTGGAGGAATAAGACTAGAAATTGGCAACTGGTGATGGTTAACTCTTGGGCAGACGATTGTATTCCTAACTCTGAAACACTAATAGTTGCACGAATGAAGTTCAAAATTTCTCATTCACATCAGTGGCTACTTCAAAAAAGAACAGGGTCTGGCATGGTCGATGCTGAACCAGAGTCTCAAATATTTCAAAAATAGGTGGACCCGGATCATCATAGGAGATACAAGGTTGCAGGTTCATAGAATAATACATCTACAATGGACTTTGGCTCAATTAAGTGGTTGACAGTCTATACGTGCTTGATCTTTTGCGCTGAGTTCAGTAAGCTATTTTTAAGGAGTAAGGACAGTAGTTTTCTAGAATTGTGTTCAAGATTCTAGTTGGATTATGAAAATCTTTTAAACAGGCCACTCATATTCCATCCAGGATTCGAATTTGGGTTCTCTACGTGCTGAATTGTGTTTGCTCTGATTGTATTTGTACACTGTGTAGAATATTTAAATGTGTAATATAATGCTTTATTTCTAGAGGCTTTGATAAGTGGAAAAAGAAAAACAAAAACAAAAACAAAAACTATCAAAGGAGTTTAGAGGGATTCCACTTTTTGCTAGTCTATCAGGATGGATAGCTTCATGTGACTTATAGGCTTTTTATATATTTCCTTTGTTTGTAATTTTTCTTTTTACTGTTTTGTAGTTGGATTCTTTATCCAACATTCTTGATATTTTTCTTATTTTTAATCCAAGGAGTTCTGTTTCCTATAAAAAAAAAAAAATTCTATCAAAACTGCAATAAATTGTATATAATATAGAAGACATGGGCTGAAGAATCTTTAAGGAGGCTTCCATTCAGACTCTTTGTGTGTTGACTTTGTGATATTATCAGTTACAAATAGATTGCTTCAATGGCCTGTTTAAGAATTTTAACTTTTAATTCTTTCCTCTTTACTTCTCCTTGATACGAATGCCGTCTTCTACCATTTAGTCTAACTGAAGAACTTCATAAAATTGCAGGTTGTTGTACTAGCTGTGCCGTTCGAGTAAGATCTGGACAAATTAGACAGCCTGAGGCATTAGGGATATCTGCTGAATTGAAATCTAAGGCATGTGGTATTTACCTTTTTGTTCATGGCATACAAAAATTTTACAAACATGTATGTTCACTTTGTTCCTAATTATTCGATGTGGGATAGAAGCTCCCTTACGCCCTCCTTCACGCGGGTTGCTCGTGATGGGACTAACAAACAAACAACCCTACATACCAAAAAATTCAAATATGTAAGAGACTTGGCCCACTAACCCCTAAGGCCCAGCTCTGACACCATGTTAAAGTATCCAACCGAAAATCAATTGGCAATGGATGGAGTGACCCATCAAGTCTATAAACCAACCTTATGTGATTCTAATTATTCAATATGGGATACAAGCTCTCTTTACACATTACAACTTGGATTAGAGGCTAAGCCTTTTTTTTTTTTTTTTTTGATGTTGAATTCTTATTGTTTGCTATTAGTTTTATTTAGTCGTGTGATTGGAAGAGGTTGAAGCTTGATTTGTTTGGGGAAACACCAAACTTATGGGTATCATGTTATATTTCAATATTTACTTATACAAGGGTAAGTCTAACAACATATGAAATTGCTGACTTATGTAATAGTTGTCTGAAAGGTGTAGGTCACTAACTGTTAGACATGTGGCTTCTTTTGGTTTTATTTTGGATTCAGTAAAAACAATGAACATAGCATTTTGATGGACTGGAACATGGTTCAGTTTTTCAGTCAGATATATACATTGCACAAAATTTATTGGCTTGACTTTTAGGCGGTGATCACAAAATTGTGTTTATTTGCCTGAATGTAGGGATATGCTCTTCTTTGTGTGGGCTTCCCATCCTCTGACATTGAAGTTGAAACACAAGACGAGGATGAGGTAATTTACATAACTACAGCATTTTCTTTGAGGAAATCTGATAGCATTGCATGGGATACCATATGATATTGTACCATTCTGTTTCTAAAGGAAATAGATATTAGTTGAATTTAACTCATGTGAGTCAACATCTTCTTTTAGTTCTTTGCATCATTTGCAGCCCAGCAGAAATTGAATTTTTTGGCTGCCTGTTTAGCCTGGAGTCATTGTGGCCCATGAGATATTGTGAGATCCTGTTGAGGCTATTATATGCTAATGCAGAGATTTGAATCCTCTCTTTGTATCTATCTGTGTGTGTATGTTGTTGAGTAGTTATATACAAAAAAGTATTATATTCAAATAATGTCAATAAAAGTTCTCGCTCAAGATTCTACCAATACTTCCATGTATTTTTTCCTATCTTGCTTATCGGATCATGTAGAAATGAACTTCATCCTTTGTGCAGGTATATTGGCTTCAATTTGGAAGATATTTTGCTCGTGGACCTATAGTATGTCCTCTATTCCTCAAAAATCTTCAACACAAAAATTTCTTATGCTATAAATTGTTTTAGCAAGGAAGGGTGAAATGAGAATGAGAGTGGTCTGATACCAGCTTCTCTTAGTTTCTATAGGGTTTATCTTATTTTGGTAATCTTCTTTTTCTTGTAGGAAAGGGATGACTATGCGCTGGAGTTAGCTATGGGTGACGAGTAAGCCGTGCTAAATGGTTATTTAGAAAGGAGGATCGATGGAGTGAAGCATGTAGACGTATAAGTTCCACACTTCAATTTTTGCTCGTTTGTAATATGTAATGAACCCTGTCTTTGTCTATTTTAGTGCGTTTATGCTGTTAATCTGAGTAGACATTCCTCACTTTGCTTGGCCTGCGAGACTGGAATTTTTTTTCTGGAGATTTATAGAAATTGGTGATCCATGTTGTTGCTCTTGAGTATTGAAACCCGTCTACGCACATTTCCTTTTCTAGGGACCTATTATCAAGAAAGCTTAGATAGTCTTTTGGTGGTGAATCTTTCTTAAAGCCATGTGCTTGGTTTGGTTGTTGAGCTATTGGAGGAAGAGCATAAAACTTACGGGATTGGTTTTGTAAGTGTCCAAGTTTCTATTCTCATGTTCTCTTGGCTCCTAAAAAGGAGCCCCATGCTCTCAATAACATCAATTTAACGGAGCTTTGCCCAAGTATTTGAGGTATGTGACATGAACCTTGTTTTGCCATTCAACCCATTCAAATTGTGTTTCTGATGCAGAAAAGGAAGAACATTAATCATGAGTGAACTGTTGTTATTAGAGGTACTCATGCATCCTAATTATTTTGTGACACTAAAGAATACTTCAAAGTTCTCTTCAATAATGACCTATTATATCTAACTACAGAGAATGTTTACTGGCCCACTATGTTACTAGAAAATGACTAGTTTGAATAGAAGGATATTGGAGAGGTGAGATATGACATGTTCAAAATCGAGTATTATGTCTGTAGGCTATGATATTGGACTAATTTTTTACATTGGAATTGCATTAATTGAAATTATTTTTGTTAAAAACCAATTCTTGGGAAACATGGACACATTGGGCTGCCTGTATTAAACCGGAATCTGGCCTTACAAAAGGACAGTCCCATCCAGAACTCATGGGAAGATATAAAATTCTCAGAGCAAAGGTACTCCAACCTGTTTTTGGATAAAAATGTAACTGCAAAGCAAAAGCTCTTATTATAAATTAAACTCACAGTGCTAGATATAGAGCTCAGTGGTAGAGAAATGTCTTTCTAACTTTACTGCTAGTGCTTAGGATAAATATTAAAAACCAGGTACAATTGATAGATTTTTGAGTTTACATCCTACATGTTGCTTGCATTGTGAGTACGGACCCCAGACAATAAGCCTTGTTTCCTGTGAGGATAATACAGAATTGCCCTTCAAAGTTTTACATCTAAATCTATGCTGATTTTTTAATCCTTTTGATCTCTATGAATTGTCATTCCACTTTTGGAGTAAATGTTAATTTCATGTGAATTCTTGAATGATATATATTTTCTCTTGTCAGGTCATTATTACCAGATCCAGATGCCTTTTAGTATACCTTTTTTTTCAATTTTCTTTAGTATTGGATCACCCTCCATGTATTGGTAAGAGACACTTATATATAGCGAGTTCCCCTTGATTCCATGGTAGGTTATCAACTATTTGAGAGAAGTAGTGAGAAAGTGTATGATGCATCGGAGGGGATCCAAATCCATTATGACTGAACCCAAAATATCTGCTTCACCCAAGAGGAAGGGCTATACTGCAGACAAAATGAATTTAGCTTGCTATCCCTTTCATGTGTTGGAAAATCTAGCATTATTAAGCATCTAGATGGGCCTGCACTGTAATGAAAGTCCCCTTCGATATCAAAATAGCATCTTTGGTGGACTCTGTTTATCTTGTACTTCTCTCTGGAAGGCAACTTGGGTGTTGTAGCATATGGATAGGCCACAAACTTGTTTAACATACTGACGACATTTAGAAGTAGACTGGTTGAAGTTCTGGATTCATTGTTGTAAACTTCTAATGTCTTCTTGTTAGTAAACTCTAAAAAGCACATCTTGATGGAAATCTGTTTATAACTATGTTTTATTAAAATTTACTTATCTCCAAGAACTGCCCTGCTGAGGTACCTAAATAATTATCAAAAATTGATAAAAGGAAAGAAAGAAAATAATTGCCTTGTCCACTGTGTCGTTCGTGTATGATAAGCCAGGAACAGTTTTAATTGCTATGAGCCAGTGATGGTCGTAATGTAAAAGAGTTGAGAGAAAACATCATCATTTTAAACGGATTCGCACTGGGCAACAGCCCCAAGTTCAAGTTTCATTGTAGGAATCTTTAGTTTGTATCACGCTGGATGGGTCTAAACGAAGAAAAGTATGCGGACTAACTGCACAATTTCATGATCTTGGTTCATCATTAAATTAGTGGGTCTGCCAATTTATTAATCTTTGATTCAACAGCAAGGCAAATTCTCAGAGGCTTTCCTCACATAGAGCTGGACCGACACTAATATGATGGCGATTCGGATTACAATTATAAGGTTTTTGTGATTTTGATGCATCTGAGGGGGAAAAAAGAAGGGTTTATATGCAGTTCAAAAAACAGAGGTTTTCAGTTTAAAGGTTAAGAGAGCTTTCTTTATGCAATCCAAATTATGTCGTTGTGGATGGGTATACAAACACCAGCTGCAATTCTAGGTATTTTCCCTATCTTTTTTGCCCTTCCCTAAGTTTTTACCCTTCCTTCAGTTTTTGCGGTAAGAATTTCCTCTTGCATTTTGTAATTGCATTTCTTAATGCTCTGTTACAGGCCTCACTTTATGGAAAGCAAAGTCAGACAGGCTATTCCTTTCTTACCCAAAAAAGGTGCAGTAATTCTACACTTAGTTATTGCTTGGTTCTGATTAACCACTTCTGTTGTTGTTATTGGAGATTCTTTATGTGACATTTCATGTGGTGCAACTTCAAGTCAATTCTATACGTTTATTATTAGTGTCACAGGATTCTTTCACAGTACTTTTCCTCAAATGCCTTTCATGTTCTTATCTCTTTAGTCCCAAAAATCATTTTCCCAGATTGGTCATTTCATTGTACTGGTCTTCTCATATTGGTGTAAACACTTTGTATGGCTATTGTGTGACAATTATAAGGACAAAGGATTGAACTAAGTACATGCCATGAGCTTAATGCCACACAATAGTGAATGAAATTGAAGTTTTTCTTATCCAGCCCCACAGTTTGAAAAGTCTTTGCTTAGAATACATATAATACATTCAAACTCACAAAACTGCTTATTCTTAATAAACTCACGCAAGGAAAAAAAAAATAACTCTATACATGCCAGTAGCCGGAACACTGCAAGATGAAAAACTGAAATTGACAAATTTTGTCATGGGGACCTCAATTGTTTCAAAGTTTAGCTGCTGAATTTCTGTTCAGTAGTGCTAGTTGATGCCTGTGTCATCCAATAAAACACAAATGTGAACAAGCATAAACACCGACAAAGAAGGTTTTAATCTCTAAAAAAATTCAGTTCTTTTTCTTTCTCTTTTTGTATTTTTACTCCTAATGATACTGGAAGTCCCCAACTACTAGAACTGTAGGAGAATAAGTGCAAAGTTTGGGAGGGGATAAACGTATCAAAGTTTATGAGCTTTAGTACCAGCATATCAAACAATAAAAACTGGAAGAAAAATCTGAAGAAAAAGGGTCCGTGGACTATGCTTCAAATGTTTAAGTTTTGGGGGTTGGAATTGTTGTGGGCACTGCCTTGCGTACCAGTCCCAACTCCCCAGAAGACCTCTAAAAACGTGCCTAGATGGTGCCTATTAATCTTGGTATCATTGAGTGCTATGCATTGCCACTTGAAGTAAGAACAAACTAGAACCCCAAACTGGTTCAACATTTCATGATTCTAATTTCAAACTCCTATATATTTGTAGGGTTGTTTGCATGGAGGAACTAATTCATCATCTATCTAGATAAACTTGTTATAAACGTTTAAGTGAAAAAATTTCCTATACTGACCCCAACTGATGTCACAAAATTGCAGACTGCACATTTTACCGATCGTGCTTCATACTGGTACATCAACAGCATCCGACAGTTCCCACAATTAACATGTGCTACCTGATTTGCTGTTGTAATATACATGTGCTTAGTAATAAGAATAGAATTTGGAATAGATGCAGTGATAAAATGCTATATATTTTAGAAAGCTATTGTTACCTTCCAAGGCTAAATTGATGGTATGACAACAAGAACATTGTACACTTGTTGCCCCACGTATGTACATGAGTAATGTGTGGCAGCCTCCACAAACCAACTGTGCCATTTCGGTGCCTGTTACTTTCTCGATTAGTAACAGATAATATTGACATGTTCTGAACAATACTAATAACTCAGTCGATGCCAAGCTTAGTTTATAGAATTAGACATACCAGGAGGTGGCACAGCTGTGACTGCATTGCAAACAGCACAGCATACAGAGGTTGCTCCGACAGGGTAGAGTAAGAGGTTTCGACATCCAGAGCAAACAAGCTGGCTCTGAGCACCTGATCACCAACATAGCATTTCTATGAGTACATCCACAATATCGACTGTTCACTAAAACAGAGGAAATCTGAATTGATACAATCACAAAGAGTGTGACACAACTACATAGTTTATAAGCTAAAAGAGTAGATGTTGCAGCTTAATCTGTTCTTGTTTTGCCAGATATCTACTAAGAATCTATATCACAGGCTATTTAGAAACTGTACCCTGGTATGTTTATTACAAAATTTTCCATTCGATCTTTTATGTACTGATTCATATCGATTTTTCTTTTGCAGAGAAATTGCTTGTTGTATTAGTTAATTTTGTCTCATAATTTCTTAAATTGAGGAACTTTGGACTTTAATCTTCTGATTTTCTTTCTTGACCACAATTTCCTGCTTACCCTTTCTTTGGCTGCCAACAGAGAAAAAAAAAAAAAAAAAAAAAAAAAAGGTATCTAATCTTATGGCTGTGTCATTTCCAAGTAGAGGCAATTTACCAGAACTTTTGAGTTGGTCCATTTCTCAGCAGCACTAAATTGCAGAATTCTCAATTGTTTGTAAGCCAGAACTAGTGGTTCTTTGTTTTTTAAACTGAAAAGTGCTAAACTGTTTTCGGGCTAAGACCAGTGCCAAGGATCAAAATTTCATTTCGGTACATTGTTTCGGTCACGGTCACCAAGGAAACAAAAATGTTTTGGCCGTTTTGAATCGAATTTTGACCCTTGACTAGTGCAGAATTCAGTAGTATACCATTTGCAGGTGGTGTAAAAGGTACTGGAGGTGTCGGATAAGGAGCAAGAGGAACTGGCATTGTGAATCTGATGGAGGTAACCCTTCTTTCTTCAGATCTCAAAAGCTTACTGATTCAGTCACATGAAATAGAACTGCTGCTCCCATTCTTACCACTTCCTGGGGAAAAAAAAGGTAGAAATTACAAATGTATGAGCTGGGACAGTTTAAAAAGCTGAGAAAAAACACCAATACTAGTGAAGAAGTTGCAAGTATTCTGACTAGTATTCATCTAAAGGAATAGAAAGGAGAAAAGAGTGTCTGTAGACATAGGCAACCAATCATTTAGAAGTTTGCCATTAAAAAGCCATACATAAAGTATTTTTGATGAACCCCCAGAAATATTTGAGCTTTTAGACACTTTGCAAGCTATGAATTCAGTTGAGCATTATGAAGTGGGGCAAGCACATAGCTTTTGCTGTTACAGATGAAGGAGAGAGAGAGAGTTGTAACTGGATTGAAAGAGTGAGAAAAAGGTACTTTTAAAGAGAGATAAGGCAATAGTACCGCGTACCCGAGTTATGTTTCTTAAAAGTATTTTATGGAATTAAGTTATGACTCCAATAAATCGAGATTAATTCATCTCAAACAACCTTATTTTGTCGCAGTTTCATAAAATTGTAATCCACTTGTTTTGTATTTTTATCTAAGTTTTTAAGGAGAGAGAAGGAGACGAGGTTATAACCTGCAATCACCACCGTCCGTCACCTCTCTCTTTCTCATGGTTTGTGTTAAACTTTCAGATATAACACCAGAAAGTAACTTTTTCATACCTTTTGAATCGATTGTTTACTGCCATTTATTTGCGCCGGTTCTTTCAATGCAAGGTAGAGTGAAGCTTTCATTTTCTTCTTTTGCAACAGATAGATGTGCTGATTTCCATTTCTGTTGGTGGGATATCAAGATCAGCTTTGTCAGACACTGTGGGCCCCACCCCACCACCCTCTCTCTCTCTCTCTCTCTCTCTCTCTCAAACTCAAATTCATTTAGTGTAACTCATTGCATGCACGTGAGTGGTTGGCTAACTTGGCTTAGCCACACGCTCCTCTCTGACGGGGCTTTGTACAACTCAGATTGGGCCACGTCACCCAACTGAAAACACAAGGCCTAGCCGAAGGGTGTTCAGAAGTTAGGACTAGATCCTGGTGGTCCATTGGTTCTGCATTCTAGTGTGTCAATGTCCTTCAATATTATCCTGCTTGGGACTACAGTTAAGGGTTAATTAAACTTTATTCCCTCAGTGTTTTCTTCGAAATTCTCTCAAATGTCTTTTTTAACAATCAAATCTTTAATGTTTTATCCGTGTTTTAATGTAGAATCTCTGCCCAATTCCATGTGCAATGTGGTCGTTAAGCGGATATGTGCCGCCCATGGCATCTTTGTACAGGTACGTGTCCACAAAAAACACTCCTCTCTCTCACTTATTATTTTTACTACGCATCAAATTTGGTTGAAACACGCCCAACTCGGAAAAAAAAAGAAAAAGTAACATCTAATGGTCATTAACATCTCTATTACAATCATTCACATTGCACTGTACCTTCATACTCAATTATTTTTAATTGTGGACAAAACTGGTGAAAAGTGTGTTTAAATAAAAACGTTTTTCACGATACCCATATATAATCACCGTAACTATTTATCATATTTTTTTATTTAGAAGTAGGTTTATTGGTCTTGTTTTTTTAACAAAAGTGGGCTTGTTGACTCTGTTTTTGAAAAGTGTCGCAGTTTGACAAATAAATAAATTTAAAAGTGCCATATTTTAGTATATTTGATTTTAAATAGACAGTAGAATGACTCTTCAAATTGAGAGGTGGATGGAGTCAATTTTAAAATAAAATTACTAAAATACAACATTTTTGAACTTTTTTTATTAAATTACAATATTTTTTAAAAAGAAGTGGTTGTTGACTATGCTTTTATTTTTATTTTTTTTGAACTTATTTACCAAATTATTGAAACTTTTTAAAAAAATAGAGTTGTTGATTTCACTTTTGTTAAAAAAATAAAGTCAACAACTCCGTTTTTTTAAAAAGTGCTGTAATTTGATAAATAAGTTTAAAAATACATATTTTAATAATTTTATTTTAAAATTATAGTAAACTAATAAATAACTCGAAGTAGGTGGGAGAGAGAAAAGGGAAAGACAATGGGGAATGAGAAGTCCATGATGAAGAACAAAGTATGGGCAGTGATACTTCAAACACACCGACTGGTAAACTACAAAAGAAGCCATTAAAGACTTTATGGATAAGCATGCATGCATGCCTATGGGTATGGGAATGGGACCACCTCTACCTCTTTGTACTTTGTATGGCTTTTCTCCGCGTTCTAAGGTTGGTCCTTGGCGGATATTCCCACCCCAATTCTATATAAAAAAGAGAGAGAAATCCATCAATAATTTAAGCTTGATGTTGACCAAACATGGATTTTAACCACGTCCAAACAGGCCTTTATGTTTCTTCTATAGTATATACCTAGTTTGTGGTTGCCAATTTTTCTGAAGCAACCACACGCATAAAGTGAAAATAACAACTCAAAATTTCTTTCATAAATTCGTACCACCTACTAGTTTTCAAATAATATTCGAGTAGATTGAAAAGAATAGAATAGAATAGAATCGAGGTTTTAAGCCGCCTAAAAATTTAGGGCTAGTAATTAAGTTAAGTTTTGCAAAAATTGTGTAAAATCTCTCTCGAATTTATTTTTTTAAATGAGTCTAAAAAATTGTTTAAATTTTACTCGTTTAAAAAACGAATTGAACTTGAATCGAACCCGAAATAAGTTGGACCCTTACCGAGCCCAAGTAACTCTACTATTATGCATATAAACGAGTCAAGTTTTGTGAGTAAGAACAGAATTTTTTAAACTCGTTAAATTATTCAAATTCGAATTATTTATAAAATAAACCGAGTCCGAACATAGTCCAAAATGAATCAAGCTCGAGTAATTTGACTCGCTTATCAACTTTACGTAAAATTATTTTTTGATTCCGACAATTCTGGTGGTTAAACCAAAATAAACAAATTAATGAATCCACTTGTGGATTAAAACATGTAGAGGATAAATTAGGGTTATGGCCCTACCTCAAACATGATTTGATGAAAATTTAATGATGCCCTATCGTACAACTTAAGCAAATCACTTCGAAAAGCATCCTGATCATTATGGTGAGGTCCTCATCTGTTGGCTGAAAAAGTGGGACTATTTGTCTAAGATAATGATTTAATCATGTGAATCTTGTTATAGATTGGCTAACTTAGGATAATACGTGGGTCAGCATCCCTATACTGTATGAAAATATCCTCCAAGATCATGACAAATTTTTGTTATTTTTTTAATCAGAAGATCATGACAATTGAATGATTGCATTATGACAACATAACTACATCAGCATAGGCATCACCCTTTTGTCCTTTTTTTTTTTTTGCAGCAATAAATCTAATCTATTCATGAGAACTTAAGAAGAAAGGACAGGGGGGATCGTTGTGTGATCGTTTCGCGTCTGTGTCGTCTGTGTCGTATCACTTTCAATTATGTTATTTTTATATCAAGTCATTTTCGATATGTGTTGAATTCGTGTCAATAAAAAAATATTTAATTTTACAACAATTCATATAATATTATTTAAAAAAATTTAAAAAAATTATTTTTTGTCTACAATACTCGTTAAATACTTATCTTTTTATCTACAGTATCCGTTAATCGTATTATTTTTAAATTTTGTGTCAAATCAACTTCGTATTAATGAATAAAATTGACAATAGGTCTGTGATTGTGAGGGGACAACTCTTAACAACTTGGACAAACCCACTTTGCTCTCCATTCGTATGACTTTCGAGACCTTATAATGTAGATAAATGTATGCATTATTATCGAGAATTTGTTTAAATATTTCAAAATAAAAATAATTTTGGGTGAATTTATTTTAAAAAAAAATGCTTCTCTGACTTTTAACAAAAATTAAAAAAAGTGTGAAATAAAAATGACATAAAAGACTATTAATTCAAAAGTTAGTGATTGTTAGCTAAAATACATCGATCTAAATGGATGCTTCTTTTCATAAAGTTACCATTAATATCTTTTGATTAAAAAATACAATTACAAATGGTTTCAACTTTTTATAAAATCACATTTGATATCTCTTAAACTAAAAAATACCTTTTCAGATGAATGTATTACCAGAATAGTTATCTCATTCTTCTTTCTCTTCATTCTCCCAAATTCACACACACACATATTCTTTTCTATTCAATCTAATATTCCATTTTCTATAGAGTTAGAATACTAGAAGTTGACTATTTAATTTCCTTAAGGTGTTTGAGCATTATCTTCATAAGTGCAACACACCGGCAAGTTTGAATAGTTTCATCGTATCTTGAAAATAAATTTACAAAATTTTCAATGCACACATTTCTAAACTACTTGTGGGGGACAAATATTGTTTTTAAGAAAGTGTTGTTCCTTTCTACTGCCTCCCACTGCTAATTTTGAAGGTCAAGCGATATGGATAGTGCTTGGCATCTACCATTGCTAGATAATGTGTAACAAGTCAATATAAAACTCCTGGGACCATCATTCCTAGTTCAATGTGATCTCAATAAACACAGACATGGTTTAAATGATCTTTAATACGTAACAAAGAAAATCAACTCACCGGATGATTGTGACCATCAGGATTTAAATGATCTTTAATATGTAACAAAGAAAATCAGCTCACCGGATGATTGTGACCTTCAGGAACTTTGGCCTTTTCCACGAAGAATTTCACCCAACTGCATCCAAACAAGGATTTGACCTATTCAAATGTCAATGTGATCTGGTTGGATGAGTTGGCTTAATTCTGCCACGTATAGAGCTTCATATGACCTGAATTCTGATATTCTGCATGTATATAACAGAGTTCAGCAAGCTGCCTCTCACATATTGGAGCTATTGGTCATGACTAGACTAGCTGCTTCATCTTTTTCTTCATCAGCATTCCCATATACAACAGCGAAATAGTGGCCTAATTCTCTCAATGTGAGGCCTGGAAACCTATGATAACTCCCTGGTCGTAGATCAATTTTAACAAATGGCCATCTCATAGTTTCTGCTGCTTCGCATTCTTCCCATCCATCCCCGATTACACAGAACTGGACATTTGTGCCATTAAATCGCTCCTTGATCCACAAAAAACACTGGAGCTTGCCTGCTTCCCATGAGCTGTAAACTGAAATAAAGACAACAGCAACGAAACGAAAACATCAAATTGAGTAACTGTTACTCAATTTTATACAGAGCCTAAAACGAGTGATGCATTATTTGAAACACAAAGAAAACTCTGACAGGCATGACGAGGAGAAAAGTAAATTGAGTAGATTCCAAGAACAAAATTACGAAAATTAAGTGCACTCAAACAAATTTAAGGAAATAAAAAGAGTAACTGACCATTCTCAGGAGTTATCAAATCGTCCAGACGAAAGAGTAAGCATTTGACAAGGCTGGGTATCAATGAACCAGAAGTTACCAAAACATTGACGTCCTGAAACTTTGTGTCACTCGAGTCTCCGATTGCATCAACCACGTCCAAAGAGGGGAGTAATTCATTGTTCCCACTCGAACATTGCTTCAAGCAGGCCCGAGCTGCATTGACGCATATTAATTATATTGCTAAAGCATGGCAAACTAGTGTTTTAAACACAAAAGAATTGAAGGTATGACAATAAACCACCAAATAAGACATACTAATCCGAGAGTCATTGCATTTAACCTACAGCAAGATTGTTCGAGTTGAGGCCATTAAGCCACCTCCTCTATGTTTAACTCAATAGCCTCCAGGATTCACTTGTCAAAATGATTTGAGTAACCATTATTGTATTATAAGTAACAAAAGAGGCTCCATGATTGGCTTAAAACGACTGTAAACAAATGCAAGGGTGCAATTTGATGAGCATGTTAAGCCACCTGTACTCCAAGTTGTTTGAATGGTAGCGCAATCATTTGGTTCTAATTTACCTTGAGATATCAAAAAACTAATCAGTCTTCTGGTTTCCAGGCAATTAATCTATCCAGCAAGTTTTCTAACAAGTGAAGTGTAAAAGGCTAAAGTTTAGTACTGAATAAAGTGGCAGGCATCCCAACACCACATATATATCAAGACAAAGACAATATCTCTGCAAATGCATCACCATGAGACTATTTACCTGAAGAGAGCCATCTCTCTGTATAACTATCAGTCACATCATAGAGATTATCCCAGAATTTTATCATTTCTTGGTCAAAAACACTATGCAACCCCTGCAATAATAGGGGAAGGAAAGCTCTCATGATGGACAGTACAATGCAATGACGTAACACATCGTTAGAAACCAATTCAGATTTCTTATATGAAGAAAAAGGATGATGCAGGTTTTCACTAAGGAATTTGGAAAGAAACTAAGAACTTATGGCAATAAACAAATGACTAATTCATCAGTACCATCTATTTTCAGTATATAGAAAAATCAAACAAACATTATCATGAGTTTCAACTTCAATATTAATGAATAGTTAAACCAAATACAACAGTTAATAATCCTCAAACAAGGTAAATATGTTAACGTTGGTTCCAAAGGTCAATGATGAGACTCCAACTTCAGAGCAATGAAAGATAATTCAGAGAGAGAGAGAGAGATGAAAATGGAGCTCAGCAACAAACTGCATAATCTTTTAAAAACATAACAATAATATCTAGGCATCATTATATTTCATTGCCACATCTCCAATCTATTCCAACTTATACACTAAGAACTATGTTTACATTCCAGAACTAGAAGGCTGCCCAGTGTCCACAATAATGTAAATGAACCTTAAAAGTAATCAAAATTAGAGGATTTTTTTTTTCCTTTGGGGGTAATGGGAGGTGGAGGGGAAGGACAATGTAACTAAGAGACTAACTATGAGGAAAAATTAGTGCTGCCCACCCACTTTGTCATATAACTAATAACTCTGTGTCTGAATACACTCTCTAATATCAATGTTAGTTTCTTATTTTCTCTATTAGACATAAGTTAATTAATATGGGGTAATATTGTAATTACTCTAATATTATTCAGTTATAAATAAGAGAGTGTTGGGCAACCTAACCTACACAACCAGATTATTTGTTGCATTTCAGTGATTAAGTGACAAACATGAGGGGGTCTATGTGTAATTTACCCATTTAATTTTAGACGGCAAACTGACGGCTATTGGCATCAGGTGTATATTCATATAGATTTATACCTTTGAGAGTGTAAATTGAAAATTTTAATCTTTGAGTGGGCAAATTGAGATTCGAGAGATGTTTCGGAATGCAATTTACGATTAACTCAGAGCAAAAAGTATTTCTTGTTGATGATTATTCTCATATGACTTTGTTGTTTTTTATGAATGATCGTTCTGAATTGTCTAAAATTTTTCTTACCTTCTTTAATGAAATCCTTGTACAGTTTGGTAACCAAATTAAGATATTTCGCTTTAATAATGCCCTTGAGTATGTAAAATCTATTATGCATATATTTTATACTGATCATGACATCCATTCATCAGACTCATGTCCACATATATCCCAACAAAATAGTGTTGCAAAATGCAAACATCATCATTTATTGGATGTTGCTCGTACCTTCATATTTAACATGCATATACCCGAGCCTTATTAGAAGGACATTATTTTTACTACAATCTATCTTATTAACCAGATGCCTTCCCCCAACTTAAATAAAAAATCTCTCTTCTCCTTACTTTATCCTGATACATCATGCATTGTCCTTTGGTCTTAACTCCGTATATTTTTGGTTATATTGCATTTGTTCACCTTCCTAGTTCTGGTCCGAATTATGACAATCATCACTATTTTCCCTCGAGGGTATGGTAGGCTTTGTTCTTGGTATTATTTAATAGATGTCGAGTGCCGCTTTTCCCAGTCTGATAAAACTTTCACGCGTTCGGTTAAGTGTGCCTTTCTAGGTCTAAGATACTCTCGTACTCATAAAGGTTATGACTGTTATGATTGTCTCTCGCTGGTATTATGTCAGCGTCGAAGTCACTTTTTGTGTTAATTTTTTTTTTCTAATTTAGAAATTACACTTATCCTATATTTGATCTCTACTAGTTAAGGAGAGCTGATATTACTTCTTCTACTAGATGGTGCATCTTCTCCCCCTCTGACTTTTGACCATCCATTACATTTACCATTGTTCCACGTATAGATTGGTTGTTTTATATGCTCTAGCACCCTAGCCAACGCTTGATTCTATTGAGGTCATTTTCCCTGAGTAATTTGATCTGCCCATTGCATTGTGGGTGGAAAAGAACTTGCACTTGTACCTACCATCCAATTTCTAATTTTCTCTCTTTACATTAGTTTTCCTCTTCATTTTATTGTTTTGCACCGCCTTGTCTTTTGTCTTTGTTCTTAACTTTCTAAAGGAGTCATTAATATCTCTTTGATGGAAACTGGCTATGGATGATAAAATTAAAGCACTTCATGAAAATCATACTTGGGACTTCACTTCTTTCCTTTGATAAGCAGCCTGTTAGTTGTCTCTGGGTGTATACCGTGAAATATCATCCTGATGGTTCTGTTGAACAGTTGAAGGAACGATTGGTTGCTAAGGTTATACCTACACGTATGGTGTGAATTACTGTTATACTTTTTTCTCTGTTGTTCGTCTTAACTTTATTAGAGTTCTTATTTCTGTTGCAGTTGCTCCCTTGTATCAACTGGACATAAAGAATGCATTCTTACTTAGAGATCTACAGGAGGAAATATATATGATTCAACCTCTGCATTACATTGTTTTAGGCCAAAAACAATTACTAGGTTGTCTGAACAAGGCACTTCATAAGCTTGAAACAGTCGCCGCGTGCTTTGTTTGACAAATTCAATACCGTGGTACTTTAGTTTGATTTTTAGCGCTTTACCAAATCATTAAGTTTTCATTCGTCGATCTTCTATAGACATTATTATTGTTATTGTGTATGTTAATAACATTATAGGAATGACTCAGATGGTATTGCTCATTTCAATGCCTATTTGGGGAAGCAGTTTCATATCAAAGACTTTGGTCTTCTTCGGTACTTCCTAGGGATTGAAGTTGTCAAATCAAATAAGGATTTCAGTTTGTGCCAACAGAAGTATGTAGCAAATTTACAATCTAAAACTGGTACTTTTGGTGCGCATCTAATTGATACGCCTATTAACCCTACAGTAAAGCTAAATCTTGAGAGTGGTAAAGTCTTTGATGATATAGAGTGATATTGGTGGTGGATTGGTAAATTGATTTATCCTATAGTTACATGTCCTAATATTACATATGTTATTGGTGTGGTCAATCAATTCATGTATATTTCTCGTAAGCCTTGTTGGCAGATTATTTGTCATATTATTAGGTATTTGAAAGGGCTCTAGGGAAGGGATTATTATATTGTTCATTATTATCCATAACAGTTGTTGGTGTTTCTCACGTTGATTAGTAGGTAGTCATGATGATAGACGATCTACTTTTGACTATTGCACATTTGTTGGTGATAATCTTGTTACGTGGCACTATAAGAAACAGAGTATGGTTACACATTCCAGTGCAGAGGCTCAGTATCGTACTATGACATATACTGCTTATGAAATATTATAGGTTCATTCTTTACTTCATGATTTGAAACTTGATGTGTCTTCCCCTATGAAGATGCACTGTGACAATCAAGCAGCTATTTTCATAACAAGTAATCCGATAGTTTATGAGAGTACGTAGATTGTCATTTCATTTGAGATCTCTTAATGCGAAAAAAAATCATCACCATTTATACCAAGTCTGATGATCAAGTGAGTAACATTCTTATCAAGTCATTGGTTCGGTCTGCTTTCAGTAGTTTATGTTATAAATAGGGCATTTTTATCTTTATACTCCAACTTGAAGGGAGTGTTAGAATTCTTATTTTCTCTATTAGACATAATTTAATTAATATGGGGTAGTATTTTAATTATTCTAAATTTACTCAGTTATAAATAAGAGAATACTGGAAGCTTGAAGTTATAAATAAGAGAATGTACGACAACTTGACCTACAAAACCATATTATTCGTTACATTCCTTGCCTCTTCTCTTTCTCTCTTTCCTCCTCCTATCTAGCCCTAATATTAGTTTTTACTATTTTAATTATCGAAAATCAAGCATTGATCATGTAACATTTATATTTCAAACAACAATTTAGTTTTTCTTTTCTTTTATCTAATAGAAGTAGGTGTGGATTAGTAAGGGTGTTTAACATTAGAGAGTATGTTAGTTGAATTGACTGACATTCGGGGTCATGTAGAGAAAATAAATTTTGTACTGACAGATGAAGTTGGATGAAAATTTGACTAATCTCAACCTTTATTGTGCTTTTATAAATGTGCAACTCAAATTACTAACTATAATATTAGATACACTAGCAATAATCCCGTGTCTGAAGTCATTCTGAAATAACAAAAATCAAGCATTTATCGTATAGCATTTATATTTTAAATAGAAATATATTGTTTTTTTTATTTTCTTTAATTATACAATTTAAAATTAAAGTGAACAAAAAAAATATATAAGAGAGGTAGAAGAGAGAGAAAAGATAGATTGGTATGGATTAATGAGGTTATTTAGCATTGGAGAGTGTGTTAGTTTACTTGTCTGACTTTGGGGGGCATGCACAGAATATAATGTTTTTGAGTGGATAATTTTTTTGGGAAGAATTTGGTACCATTGGATCAAAGTAAATTAAAATTGAATTAATCTTGATTGTTGTTGTCCTTTTATAAGTTGAAAATTCAACTTCTCAACTGTAATATTAGATAGATATCTTCTATGCTTCTAATGTAGCTACCAGAATAATGAAACTTATGTACTAGAGAAAAAAAAGAAAAAAAACTGGGGTGAGCCAAGATTTTTACTATTCTTTCTCCTTTTTTTCCCATTGTGCCTTCAAGTTGAGCACCTATACATAGAAATGTACATTTTCTTGGGATGGCCAGCTTAAGGATTTTTAAAGCATTCTTTAGTTCCAAATGGTTTACACTATATATATCTACATTATTCACTGTTAATCCTAGTTACAATTCATGCCCAATAGATATATTCCTATGGATATAACTGCACACATTTGTGCCATTTTCCAGTTGTTGATAGCTGCTATCACTACTTAAGCCATATACAAAGGATGACTTTGCAGGCCAAAGAATGCTTCCCTTTCCTCTTTGGATTTTAACTTTCACCTTTCCAAGTGTGGAACCATCTGTTTTTTACTGCATTCTGAAAGTCATATATGAAAGGACTGCCACTGGCCCACCACTTTTACATTATCATCAGGTAAAGCTAACCTAATAGTGTCAATGAACTCAAACCAACATTATAATAAAAGAGGATCAATAGCAGAAACTATGCATAGACAGAGCACCTGACCAAATTTTTTAAGAAATAGTTACCCAGTAAATGTAAGAATATCATAAAAGAGCTGACATCGTATGCAATAACAAAATGATCTCATGATTAAAAGGGATGTATTATTGGAACCTTTTTGTACTTTTGAGCTATAACCCGGTGCCTGTATGCTAATTTTCTTTTATTAATATCATCAGATGGGGGACCCAAGCCATCCTGCTTGAAATCATAATCAGTGAGATCTCGCCCATCATCATACTGGCTTAAGGCATCAATAAAAGGCTTATTGCAGTTTTCAATCTGCGTCAGCACATATAAAAAAAGTCAGAACTAATAAATAAAAGGAATTAGAAACTACAAACAAACCATGGTTTTTTGGAATATTATAATAGTGGTTTTTAAAGATTGAGATTGACAATCTCAATCTCTAAATAATGAAAGAAATACGATACAACTGAAGTGGCAAACTTACTTGCTCATAAAAGAAATATTCGTCGCATACTTGAAGAATGTGATTCTCCCACGTTTTCCCGATTTTTATACCCTTTTCTACATCTTTTAAACCATTGAAAGCCTCCGCATATGTCCCATTGATCAAAGACTTCAGTAATATCAGAGTCTCATCCATGTCCCAAATATACACATTCATTTTATGATCCATAATGTTTACTTCGGAACCCTACGACCTTCAATAAATTCTGTTGCATTGCAACCCCTTAATTTAGTCAATAAAATGGATCCAGGAGCCAATAAGCAGCATATTAAACTACATTCATCAAACAATCGCATGACATACGATTTAATTTGTTCAAATGGATAAGAATTCATGGACTATGGAAAGAGTCTGATATAAAGGGTTTACGAAATTCCATGGCATTTCATTTGCAGCAGAATCTGTAAGTCCAAAGTACACTACTGGCACAACACTATGCATCCTGGCTTGTCTATATATTCTTTCAAGGACACAACAATTTCTAAATTTTCATGATAGAAGTTACTTACTTGCTTATATATACCATTCTGCGTTCTGGATCAAGCCACTTGGTTTTTTAAAAAGTTATCTGCTCAGAACTAAAACTAAAGGGTTAAGGGAATAAATAAGGGCTTCACTTTAAAAATAAAAAATAAAAAATCCACTCTTCTATGCATCATTTAGGGAAGATAGTAAACATTTCCAAGAAGAATCGTCTTTCCATTTTCCCCCCAATTCAAAAAATATGGGAACATTGCCTACCCCAGCCTAAGCTAAACCTAATATGAGATAAATTAGGCTAAACCCTAAACCTCAATCTAATTCTTTAAAATTGAGACCGAAGTATTTGTACCAAGCTTCAACTTCGTCTTACTCGTCTCCAACTTTTAACTCCAAGGTCCCAATTCCATGCTGCCCAGCGCAACCATTTGAGATCGCCGACAGATTAATCATCGCAAAAAAGTCCACACTACCCAATTAATTATATTATTCCCAGTAAATAATAGACGTAAAAGAACACAAAAACCCATTCCCAAACAACTTCAAACACAGGGGAACTTTCGAAAGAATTTAGGGACTTGATGAGGACACCACACACACACACATGTATATATATATGAATCCGATGTAATTTTCAATCTAAAGAAGGATTGTAGCGATAAAAACGAAGAGAGAAGTGTGAGCAAGAGGATTACCGTTTACAGATTCTTGAACCCTTTCGATTTCAGTTGATTTGGAGCAGTACCTCTCAGATGAAGTGAGAGAAGATGTTAAAGCTACCTTCTAAATCAGTCCTTGTGAACGAATTAAATAAGACGGAGTAGGATTCTTCGGATAACTGCTTTTTGAAATTTACTTTTTTTTTTTTAACTACTTTTGAAAATTACTTGAATTGCCAATTTTGGGGTGGTAATTTAGTTAAATTTAGATTATAATTTTTAATACTGTGCCAAAAAAAAATTTTGTTATCATAATTTTTTGGGTTAACCTCATTTTACACTCCAAAAAATACTTTGATTTTTAATTTATACCTTCAATGTTATGAATTTATAGTAACGTAAACCTTTCCCAAATTTAGTTATTTGTCATAAATTGAAGCACATGAGTGATAAGTACTTCGGGCATGAGAATAAGGTGTGTTCATCACTGTAGATTTTCGTCTGCGATCAATTTAACATCATTTTATGCATCGAAAATAACGTTTCTTCAATCAAATAGAGACTAACTCTACCATGTGCAACTCACATGAGATGCCAATGGTCTGTAAAATTATATATAAGTTCATGATCAAAACATTTGCAATTTACGTGTTTCAATTTATAACAAAAAAATAAATCGTAATCTAAACAACGTCCAAATTACTACCAATTTATAGCAATTCTCCAAAATATACCCCTAAGTTGAGTTGTCTATGCTTATGAGAGATTTCTACTGTTTTACCTAAGGTCTGTTTTATCATGTGTGATTATTCTTTGTAGTCTTCAAAAAAACCCCTTTTGGACCCCATGAAAATAAAATTTGTGAAGGTTTCCACACAGGTGTGATGAAGATTATTTTCACTCCTTTCAAAGTATTTTCTTCTTTAATTACTATTTTTCATTCTTAACTATCAATGTACTATAGTTTTTAATTTGTTTATCGAATTACTAATGCCCCCATTTTAAGTATAATTTAAGCCCATGCTTACAAAAGTAAAAGTATATATTTCGATATTTAGTTTTTACTTAACTCGATTCAAATTTGACTTAACACGACTCAAATTTGACTTAATACGAGCGATGTCCAAAAATTTTCATGTCTTTTTTGGTTGNCTTTTTTTTTTTTAACTACTTTTGAAAATTACTTGAATTGCCAATTTTGGGGTGGTAATTTAGTTAAATTTAGATTATAATTTTTAATACTGTGCCAAAAAAAAATTTTGTTATCATAATTTTTTGGGTTAACCTCATTTTACACTCCAAAAAATACTTTGATTTTTAATTTATACCTTCAATGTTATGAATTTATAGTAACGTAAACCTTTCCCAAATTTAGTTATTTGTCATAAATTGAAGCACATGAGTGATAAGTACTTCGGGCATGAGAATAAGGTGTGTTCATCACTGTAGATTTTCGTCTGCGATCAATTTAACATCATTTTATGCATCGAAAATAACGTTTCTTCAATCAAATAGAGACTAACTCTACCATGTGCAACTCACATGAGATGCCAATGGTCTGTAAAATTATATATAAGTTCATGATCAAAACATTTGCAATTTACGTGTTTCAATTTATAACAAAAAAATAAATCGTAATCTAAACAACGTCCAAATTACTACCAATTTATAGCAATTCTCCAAAATATACCCCTAAGTTGAGTTGTCTATGCTTATGAGAGATTTCTACTGTTTTACCTAAGGTCTGTTTTATCATGTGTGATTATTCTTTGTAGTCTTCAAAAAAACCCCTTTTGGACCCCATGAAAATAAAATTTGTGAAGGTTTCCACACAGGTGTGATGAAGATTATTTTCACTCCTTTCAAAGTATTTTCTTCTTTAATTACTATTTTTCATTCTTAACTATCAATGTACTATAGTTTTTAATTTGTTTATCGAATTACTAATGCCCCCATTTTAAGTATAATTTAAGCCCATGCTTACAAAAGTAAAAGTATATATTTCGATATTTAGTTTTTACTTAACTCGATTCAAATTTGACTTAACACGACTCAAATTTGACTTAATACGAGCGATGTCCAAAAATTTTCATGTCTTTTTTGGTTGGACCAGAACAAGTTTTTTTTTTTTATGTTTTTGTTTTGTTTTGTTTTGTTTTTTTTTTTTGGGGGGAGGAGTAGAAGCAAAGAATGAACCAAAGAATATTTCTCACATTTCTCCTTGTGATACAATGGAACCATGATAATTAGGATCTCAAAATGTAGCAAGACTTTTGATTTAAGGAATAATAGACTTACATTTAAGAGTGTTAATTGAATCGAGCTTGATTCCGAGTTCGAGTCCGAGTCCGAGTCTGACGAGTTCTTTTATTTAAATGAGATTAAAAAATTGTTCAAGTTCGACTTATTTAGAAAATGAATTGAGTTTGAGTCTGAGCCAACACTCAAGTCTAAGTCGAATTCAAATAATTTGACTATTTTACATATAAACAAATAAGTTTTGCGAATTTAAACTAAGTTTTTTAGACTCATTTTTCTAAATAAATTTTAAAAATTATTTAAATTTAATTCGTTTAAAACATGAGTCTAACTTGGATGGAGCTCTATCCGAATCAAACTTAAGTTGAGCTCGAGTAATGTTTCTCCATTGCCATCTCTGCTTATATCACATCACGGCATCTTTTTATGTGGGCTTAAGCTCATGTGTATTTTATGGGCTTACGAGGTCTCACCCATTTGAAATTGGGATTTTGGGAGCTTTAATCCAACCCAACTTGCAGTAGACTTCATCACACACATAAGAAACCTAGGCCTGGGCCCAACACTCCGAAAATTGGCTTTTGTAAACAGCATGAGGCCTAATATACCCTCCACTTTTTCGCTCGCTCTGTCTCTCCCTCTTTCTGTCTCTCAATTTCAGTCCCTCTGTTCAGCTCAACACCAGAATCAAACTCCGTCAGCTACTTTGTAAGTCTCTCTCTCAATCTTATCTCAAGCGCATATAAACACACCCATCTTTGCATGTGCATGCATAGACACATGGATTTAGATCATGTAACGAATTTGTTTGCCCCGCTAGAAAAATAATTTATTTCAATTGGTTTGTTAGGGTTCTTCACACCAATCAGCACTAGAATCTCAATGGGTTGCACTGCAAGAGAAAAGCATATCCGAACCAATCGGAGGCCTCGATCGGCAAAACCCGAAATCGATCACACTAGTAGTACAGAAAGGACAACAGCCTCTAAATCCATAGTCGAATCTAACCCCAGAACATGGAATAACTACCAAATGGGTGCTCAAGATTCCACCCAGAACACACACCCTAACCCTAACGCTAATCCCAATTTTGATGATAGTGGTTGGGGTTACTGTACAGAGGAACAATTGGAAGAAATTTTGTTGAAAAATTTAGAGTTTGTGTACAATGAGGCTATTTCAAAGCTTGTTGCATTGGGATATGATGAAGATGTGGCTTTGGATGCTATATTGAGAAATGGGCATTGCTATGGTGGAATGGATGTGCTGACTAATATATTGCATAATGCTTTGGCTTATTTGAACAGTGGGTGTGGTGGAAGTGGAACTGGTGGAAATTCAGAGGAATCTGAGCCTGTTTTTGTTGATTTGAGGCAGTTGGAGGAGTATTCATTGGCCGGTATGGTATGCTTGTTGCAACAAGTTAAGCCTCATTTGACTAGAGGTGATGCTATGTGGTGTTTGCTGATGAGTGATCTGCATGTGGGTCGGGCGAGTGTGATGGAAATTCCAGTTCTTCCTTCGCCTAGTAATAATGGGTCTATTAGTGGTACTGTAACTAGTAATGTTGAGAGTGTTGATAATAACCAGGTTGGGGTTGCTCCAGCATTGTGTAGGTTTCATAGTGGTTGGGGGTTTGGAAATGGAGGTAGTTCTGAGTTTCCAATGAATGGATTTTTCCCGTATGCACCAGAAATGACTTTGCAAAGAGAGATCGAGTGTCCAACGAGATTTAATCTTACTCCTTCAATGAAGGCATTGCTGAAGAGGAATGTAGCAATGTTTGCTGCTGGTTTCAGAGCGAACTCAAAACAGTTGCTGACACAATCACAGGCTTGCCCCAGTTCTTTGTGTGGTGAGGACTCCTCAGCTGGGACTGTGATTGGGTTTGCAGTTCCAGACGAAAAGAAGGAAGAATCTCAGAATTTGAAGAGTCAAGATGTGGTGAACTCCATGTTGAGTAAGTTTCGTGATTTGAACCTTGATGAGAATGCAGAGAATGCACCAGGAGATCCGAAGGATGAGATGATTTTGAGTTTGATTCACCAGATTAAGGATCTGGAGAGGCAGGTAAAGGATCGGAAGGAGTGGGCCCAGCAGAAAGCAATGCAAGCTGCAAGAAAGCTCAGTAATGATTTAACAGAGCTGAAGATGTTGAGGATGGAAAGGGAGGAGACTCAGCGACAGAAGAAAGGCAAGCAGACCCTCGAGGATACTACCATGAAGCGGCTTTCAGAGATGGAGAATGCTTTGAGGAAGGCTAGCGGTCAGGTTGACCGTGCGAATGCTGCTGTGAGAAAGCTTGAGACTGAGAATGCAGAAATTAGAGCAGAAATGGAGGCTTCTAAGTTAAGTGCGTCAGAGTCAGTTACAACCTGTTTGGAGGTTGCAAAGAGGGAGAAAAAGTGCCTGAAGAGGCTTTTGGCTTGGGAGAAACAGAAAGCTAAGTTGCAGGAGGAAATTGCAGCAGAGAAACAGAATATTTCAGAGTTGCAGCAACAGTTGGTTCAGGTCGAAGCAGCTCAGAAGGAGGCTGAGGTGTGCCAATTTATCTTTCTGCCAATCTATTTATTCACTTGGGGCCTCCTGTAGGGCTGTGTCAGGAAGATTCCTCCCACTTGCCCATTAGGACCGGCTTCTTGCATAACATAAAAGAAGCATGGACATGGATTGACACAACACAAACCAGTTACACGAACACACTGAGGCACTACCTATAATATGCTTTTGATATCTATAAATAATACATATTATTGTTTGACACGTCTTAACAACTACACTTCTTTTCATGCTAAAAGAAATACACATTTCAACCTCACCAAGCAATGTTTGTTTCATGCTGGCTTGTGTACTTAAATTGTTGGCAAGTACCCAATAAGTTTTAGCTGAGTGTCTAAATTATGAAGTTTGTTTTTATCAAGGACACGACCAAAAAGGTATTGGACACTTGTCCGAGAGTTATGAAGAAGTGGTGGTGTCCACTTTCTTAGAAGAGTGCATACTTGGTAGCACTTTACCGAGTTTAGAAGCCATTTAAGGTTCATAACTCTATTAGCACATCTGTTTTGTATCCAACCTATTTAGACTGTGCAATAACTGTTTGGATGGATATGGCACTGTTTAGAGTCCTGCTCTTTTGTACTTTTGTTTTCTTTGTCTTTGCTTCTCCTTTGCTATTTTTTTTATATCGAAGAGTCCAGGTGAACTTCGATATCAATGGCATATAGGGATGCTACTGGGATCTTTGAATGATACTTCTGGAATAATACTTGAGTGAGGTGCATAATTTTTTTCATTGTTTGTCTGTGCCATATGCTTGTTTCGCTGATTGATTTCCATGTACTAAGTGCTATGATATAGTTTACTTGTATGATCAATATTTTTCAGCTTTAAAACCTATATGAAGACCTATTTTCTAGCCATTTCTTTTTTGTGACCTCCTTAGTTTGTATACTTTATGTATCACCATTACTTAAGATTATCATTGTGGAGCATGATCGTTGCTTATGTAGAGTGCCACTTTGTGGGAATAATATTAGATGGAGGTTGTTTATGTAGGCTGTGCCAAATCATTCCCTGCTACTCTCCTGATAACCTTTTTTTTTCGTAATAGGAACAACCCTGATTAGCTTGAATGACCTTTCTACAGTCCAATTGGAAGGATAAACTTATTTTCCGTTCAATGCAGCCATCAATATTGGTTGCCTCTTGGCTTCTAAATACATAAGTGAACTTAAGGTTATGTTTGCTTTGGTCGATGAATTGGGTTTTTGGACCATGATTGGGAATGCATGTAGCGTGATGAGCTCACAAGAATTGAGTTTCTTCTTGCAACAGTTGCTTGGTTGATACATGTATAGACTATGCTTAGTTGGCCCCGACTCTTTGGTAAATAGTTTTCTTGTCAATTTTTTTCGATAAGAAATGAATATTTTATTGATGACCAAAAAAGATGATTACAAAAAGACAATGGTGGACATGAAGTTCAACAAAATGACTGTTAAAGAAAAGCAAAACAAACACACAAAATTACAAGCCACATGAAACTTTCCGACATGTTCTAATACAAAAAAGAGGGATGTCATCAAACTCCTTAGTAATAGAAGTCCAAAAAGAAGCCAAAAAGTGAATACTATCCCACAATCCTTCAGCTTCTTCACATTTATTCTAAAAAATTCTTGCTTTTCTTTTTTTTCAAATCACCCATAAAATAGCTAAGAAAGCATTATCCCAAAGAATATTCCATTTTCTATTTCCCCCAAACCCCATATGGGTTAAAAAAAGCATAGATCTCATATCCCTTGGTGCAACCGAAGAAGAATTTGCATGTCAAAAAGCTTATTCGAAAGATTACGCGCCACAATAGTTTTCTTGTCAATTATATCCTTACGTTTAATCATAGCTTTCCAAAGACCAGGCAAATGAACTATGTGTCACCAATGTTGGGCATTAGTTATTTGCAATACCTATGTGCTTCAGTGGTAACTTTGATGCATTTGTTATGTAAAGGTTTTTAGTTTAATGTTGCACCATCAATAAAAGACAAAAATGATTGTTTAATGGTTAGTACGGTTAGAAAAAAGAGTAGGAGGGCAGGAAGGAAATAAAGGTTCTTCTTGTTTTTTTCTTTTTTTAACACGTAACTATATGTTTGTCAAATTAGCAGAACCAATGGTTGGTGATGGTGTCAGTTAAGCACTTCTTTTATTGGGCACACACTCAAACAATGAGCATTAATGCATCTACCACAGAAATCATCGTTTAGCAATCAATTTATCTTTTTTGGTTGTTTAATTTATGCAGTAAGATGTTTGATTAATTTATAATTTTTTATTTGGATGCCATGAATTTTATCCTCAATTTTTATTTTTTTTTTGGTTATGAACACGCACTCCTTGTTTGTTAGTGACAGTCTATTTGTGTTGATCTCTTATTAATATAATTATCCGCTGTATTCCATAATTTGTGCATTGCAGAATTGGTTTAACTGCCATTGTTTTGATTGTAATGTGTCTCTAACCAAGCTATTTGGTGTAAACATTGATCCACATTGTGAAAGTCATGTTGGAATATAAGCCCCCTTAACTGCACGCCCACTGCTCATGGCCTTTCTCTGGCCTAAATGCTTCTTGAAGCAAGCAGCATCTTGTCTCTTTTTATGATCCCAGCTTGCTCCTGTCTTTTCAATTTTGCAAAAAGTTTGGTTCATTGTATTGTTTTTTTCCTGTTAGTGTACTGCTTACCTTAGTTGCAATTGAACTCTATGACACAATTACTACATAATAGGCGAAGTGGAGGCAGGAGCAGAAGGCTAAGGAGCTAGCTCTAGCCCAAATGGAGGAGGAAAGACGGCTCAAGGAAGCAACTGAGGCCAATAATAAAAGAAAGCAAGAGGCCTTGCGCCTAAAGATAGAGATAGATTTCCAACGCCACAAGGATGATCTCCAAAGACTTGAGCAGGAGCTTTCACGCCTTAAAGCGTCTGCACAATCCACAGATCTACATCATCAATCTAATAATTTGTCGCTTGGAAACTCTGAGGGGGCAAATGCCCAAGGAGAAAGTATTGCAAAGATGCTTCATGACTTGGATAAACTTGAGGAGGATTCGTCAGAGAAAGAAGCTGGCTATGATAGGGCGTGCATAATTTGTCAGAAAGATGAAGTATCTGTTGTGTTTCTGCCGTGTGCCCATCAAGTTATGTGTGCCAACTGCAATGATGATTATGGGAAGAAGGGAAGAGCTATATGTCCATGCTGTCGGGTTCCGATTGAACAGAGGATCCGTGTGTTTGGTGCGAGCTCATAGTCATGTTTCCTGGTATCAGGATAGCATGGTCAGTAAAACCCTTGGTTTTTTTAATTTTTTGTTGCCGTTTCTTGAAACTGCTAGGACCTGGGGCTTTTACTAATTACTTGTTTTGGACATGCTGTGGTTGAATCCGCATAATCGAATGTATGTAAATAAGCTGCAAAAAGCCTATCAAATCAAATGCAATGCTTATTAGTTGTAATATATTTTGCCATGGCCTTTTTTGCCTAAACAAGACCTGAGTTGATGTTTCTGTGACATCTTTATTTGATAAAAGCTTAACCCTATTCATCTTATAGGGAGAAAGACTACGGTACCTATTTTTTAGGATACTTGCGATCGATCACAAAGTTTTTAAGACCGATCACAAATAACCCTCAAAAGTTCTCCCATCTTAATGGTTGCATAAGCAATAGATCAGGGCCATTAAATCATGTAGAGAAATCGATACAAGAGATCATCACCCCCAAACTGTTGTTTTCACAGTCATTAGGCTGCCGTTTGGTTCGTCGAGTAGGATAGAATGGGATTGGTGTATTTCATCCTACCCACTCCTTCTCAGTCTAACTTTTTTTTTTTTTTTTTTTTGTCGTACTTTTCGGTCTAACTCGGTCATTTGAAAATGACTTATTTTAAGAAAATGTTAAATAGACTTGAAAATTTGGTTTAAAAATTTGATCTGATAAATTATTATTATTGAATAAATAATGAATTTTAATAAATATTGCCACTCATAATTAAATAAATGACAAATATAATATAATAATCACATCATCAAATCATATTTAAAAAATAAATAAATACTAATTTTATTTTTATAGGAATTTGATATAAGTTATAAATTGATGTGATATGACAATGATTGTTTGTCAGATCAACACACTTCACAAGACGTGCTTCATAAGGATAATTAATCCTCAAAATCTCCTGGCGAGTCCTCCACGCCCGTTAATAATTAATTAGAGTTAATAGCCTTCCCTTTATACCTAAGACGAGCAGAAACAGATGAAGAAATGCCTTTATAGATATTGGGCTTTTATGGCATTGCTGTTTTATATTGGAATAACACTATGGTATTTCAAAAAAAAAAATTAATTCTATATCGAAAAATAATTTTCAATCATAATTATTTGGTTTGAGTTATTTCTAGTCATTAATCATTGAAATAAATTTTTTTTATTGTTATCTTATGATTAGTTGAAAAAAGAGACGACTATTAAAAAATTATTTTTTTGTGCAAAAAATGTCTGATCTTTTGTATTAACATCTATAATATAACATATTATAAATTACAATAAATTCATTCAACAGTTTTAAATTAACTCATTCAATGACTAACAACATACCTCTCAAAATCATTCATATTGTACCATGTCTTCAAGCACAAATTACCTTTATTATGAGTGCAGATGAATTGTCCTTTCCACGGGGATCTATCATCGTCGGAGAAGGTAATCACTCTTGTAGCTCTATCATTTACTTTGGACCTCGCAAATGATTTGCATTTAGGGGTGACCTCTGGGGGTAAATATTTTGTCTGGCTAATGTAAGTTTGTACTTTGAAAGATGCTTTTATTCTTAATTTACAATCTCAAACATTAAAATCTCAATTTGTACTCTCAATGTTATAAATTTGTAGTTATGCAGACTTTGCCTAGATTATTGTTCAGTTTTTTGTCATATATTGAAGTATGTGAGTTACAAGTACTTCGGTTATGAGTTTATGTATAAATTGACATACTGTTGGCACCTCATATGTACATGATAGACTTAGCTTCTATTTGATTAATAATACCTTATTTTTGATGAATAAAACGATGTAAAATTGATCGCGGACGAAAATCTACAGAGATGAACACATTTCATTGAACGACAGTTTGGATGAGATTCACTTTACTACTAATCATAACATTGAGGGTACAAATTGAGAAACCAAATATTTTTCGAGATCCAAAGTGAGGTTGGCCCATATTTTTCCTATATCTTTTGACTAATAATGTTTAAAACATAGAACAAGAAATAGATCTCCCAACAAATCTAAACTTTTTTGATTGAGTTTCCATTTATCTCTCTCCTTTTTTTAAGTTAATGTAGGAGGAAGATTTCAAACTGCACCTCCCTAGGTGCCTTTTCCTTCTGCAGAGAAACCCTAGTTAGTGTCCTTTTCAATTATAAGCTCGTATGAGGAGGAATAAGAGAGGTAATTGGGAAGATCAGCTGGTAAATGATCAATTCTGTTGTGGCAAAATCTTCACTCTTTGCTCAGATCAGGCATATGCATGGTAATCAGGTAATGGGTTAAATGGTGAGCATTCTGTTAAATTTTAGAATATTTTCAAGTTTTTTGCGACCATAGTTTTGTATTATTTTCTTAACTTTTTCTCTCAGAAAAACTCAACCCCACATTTACATTAGGTGAAAAAATATTAATATTAATATTCATTTTCATTCTATTAACATGTATCATATTGCGTATATTTATGATGATAGTTTTCATATACATACAATCTCAGTGGTCACTGATGGATGTAGCAAATGCATAAAGTTTTTTTGTTCATCACACAATGCACAAAACACCGAAACCTTATTTTAGAATGGTTAATTTTCGAACTTGAACTATAATGTAATGTTTAGACGGATGAACATTAACTATCGCTTCAAATTCAAAGTCTAGATATCCTTACAATGTGTTTCACAAACCGATATCAAATTACTCTTACAAAGTAGCTTTGTCACCAAGAAATTATTTGTTGTTGTTGTAACTGGGTTGAGGGGAGCCTTCCACAGAAAGTTGAAGCATTAAATGTGAAGATTTCTTCTACCAAAACTTTCTGATCATAGCGTCACATCAGTATGCATGGTTTAGGGAACTACTGTATTTACCCTTTTGGGTGGCAATGAACCACTGCTCTAAATTCCTTCATATTTGAATCTGTAAATCTTCTTTTTACATACTAAACCAAAGCCCTTAAGCTCATGTCAGCCACTTACATTTCCATTCTAACTCCACACAGAGACAGAGACAGAGAGAGGGAGAGAGGGGGGGGGGGGGGGGGGGG